AAAAGTCAAGTGAGAATGACTGAAATATATTTCTTTAGTGATTGTTGCTGTATGCTGTGATTCTTGTCTTTTGGGGGTTACATCCGGTGGTGCTCAGGGCTTATGCTAGCTCTCTAGTCAGGGATCACTCCTGGCTGTCCTCGGGGGACCATATGTGGTGTTGGGGATTGAACTTGGGTTAGCTGTGTGCAAGGCAAGTGCCCTATCTGCTGTACTAGCTCTCTGGCCTCAGACTCTGCCTGGATCACTGAGAGTGGCATTCCATAGGTCTACTCAGAGCCAAATGCTGAGCCTCTTGCAGATGGTGGGTGCATTTGTCTCATACCTGCCTACAAACAGGCTAAGAAGAGCACCAGCAGAGACTAGAAGACCAGAGCTGAAGAAGGCTGAGCTGCCTTGAGACGGCCTGCATGCTCAAGTTTATCTGAACAAAAAGGGTAATACCTGAGGCTGGAATAAGCCCTGGGGATCTCTGGGTGGGACCCCAAAACAAAAACACCACAAACCAAAACAAACAGGCACCCAATTGAAACCTCAATACACATATATCAAAAATAAAACAAAACAAAACAGTACCAGCAGGAAAATGAGAAGCTGGAGTGATAGTAGTGGGCAGGGCATTTGTCTGGCATGTGGCAGATGCGGGTTCAATCCTCGGCATCCCATAAGGTCCCTGAGCAGTGCCAGGAGAATTCCTGAGTACGGAGTCAGGAGTAACTCCTGAGCATCCCTGGGTGTGGCCTAAATACCAAAATCCACCCCCCACCCCCACCCCCTGCCCCCAGGGGCTGGACAGATCGTTTAAGCCAGTAGGCACTTGCCTTGCACACTGCTGACCCAGGTTTCATCCCTGGCCCCTGAGACTGCTGGGAGGGATCCTTAAGTACAAAGTCAGGAATAAGCCTTGCACACTGTCCTGTGTGGCCCCTAAACCAAAGCCAAAGAAAAATTCGCAACCAAATTAATTTGGATCTGATACTGCCACCTGCTGGAAAACTCTCAAAATAAACATGCCAATCTGCAAGGATGAAGAGAACTGCACTAGGGTGGCACTGAGGTATGGTACCCACCACTTGCACAATATGGGTATCCTTAGGGTGACCTGTAAGTGGGTCAGTGACAGCTATCTTAGATTTTAGCTGACAGGTTCCTGAGAGAGATGTTTAGAAAGAGAGGTTATCTGTTTTGTTTTTTAATTTGGCCGTACCCCAGGACATTTCCTTCCACATGCAAAGCATGTGTTCCTGCCCTTTGAGCTATCTCTCCGGCCCCTAGAGAAAACAGAGACAAAGAGTTGGAGGTTGGCTACTAGATTCCTAGGGGCTGAGAGAGGAATGGACAACTGACTGAATAGACAGACGTGAAGGAACAGCTCAGAAGAAATCTGGGTGGAAAACTAGCAGACAATTGGGGATGGCGGTGGTTTCTGAAGTAATTATAACTGTATCCATCATAAAAAGGCAGCTTTAAACACTGACTGGCCCCAGTGTTAACATTAGATAGAAGTAGAAGAAGCTTTTCTAAAAGTTCCCGCGTTCTCTTTCACTCTTCCTTTGGTCTGGCTGCTGATCTGGGAAGACCAGGTTGTGCCAGAATGATGCTAGTAAAAGAAGCTCTCTATGGGGAGCACTGAGCCCTCTGTCCCCAGGTGGAGATGAGGTATGTTTTACGTTTTGTGACTCAATGACCACAGAACTTCCTTTTCCTAAGGGGGACCCCAGAACCCATGGAACCTGTCTGAATCAGACATGCAGACTGCACAGGTTTTAAGGGATGGTGAAAGATAGAACAAAAATCTTGTTTTGTTTAAAATTATACCCCTGGGCCAAAGAGATTGGACAGGAGGGAAGGGCTTGCTTTTATGGCTATGCCAGCTGTGACCCTGGCTCAAATTCCTAGCATCTGGCCCCCCCCACCCCCCGCACAAGTGGGGTCCTTCCCCAATATATCTTTGAAGTCTGCATGTTGAGCATACTGGTTATTTATAAAGTAGGATCTATAAAAGGATCAAGGACTTGCACTTGGCTTTTGGGCCATACCTGGTATTGCTCAGGGCTTACTCCTGGCTCTGTGCTCAGGGATCACGCTGGCTGGGCTCTGGGGATAAAGCCTCAGTCAGCTGCATACAAGGCAAGAGTCCTACCCAAGCACCATTGCTCCAGCTTCAGCATTCGAGTTTTATAGAAAAATGGACAAACGGGTACTGAATTCATTCGTCTTCTGAGAGCTCATGCCTGGGGAGTAGTGCACATAAAGGCAAGGGAGTCCAGGTCCTTTGGGAGCTGAGTCTTGGGCATCACAATCAGTTATGTCACCAAGAGCCTGTGTGACACAGGCAGGCTGGGTTCAGGGTTCCCAGTGATTTGCTTTCATTAATTTTACTTGCTAGTAAAAGAAGCAAGTTTTAGAAGCAATCATGTTGCTGCCCATGTTCTTCAAGCACGGAATCAGAGGTAAAGCTTCCATGTAAGATATTGATAGAGGGACTCGAGGCTGAGTACAGGAGCTCTCTCTTAGACTGTTAAGAAACCAGAGTTTGTCTGGTCCCTGTTTGGCAGATTCAAAAACTCATTTTACTTCTCTTACGCTTAACCAGGCTTTGAGACAACTATTTGGAGGAAACAACTTTATCATTCAGCTCAAAGAACAGAAGCTGATTTATAAACCATGATGTGAAATGTGCTAATTGAGAAAGGCTTTGTAGATGGTATAACTAGTACCAGCCTTGTGTGCCTTGGACAAGGGCTTCTTACTGGGTTTGCTTATTTATTCCATCCAGACCCCTTGTGTGATGGGAAGACTACTTTGAGTGTGACAAGAGCCTTTGGATTTTCTTTTTTTTTTTTTTGCTTTTTGGGTCACATATGGCGGTGCTCAGGGGTTACTCCTGGCTTCATGCACTCAGGAATTACTCCTGGCAGTGCTCGGGGGACCATATGGGATGCTGGGAATCGAACCTGGGTTGGCCATGTTGGCTGCGTGTAAGGCAAAGGCCCTACCCGCTGTGCTATCGCTTCAGCCCCTGGATGTTCTTAAAGAATACCCAGGATTTAAATTTTCAAGGGTATAAACTTAATAAAGGCAGAGATCTTAATTGCTGATGTGAGTAGAACATAGTAAGCACTTGAAGCTGGAGTGATAGTATAGAGAGTAGGGTGTTTGTCTTGCATGCTTCGGACTCAGGTTTGATCCCTGGTATCCCATATGGTCCCCCAAGCACTGCCAGTAGTAATTCCTGAGTGTACACAGAGCCAGGAGTAACCCCTGAGCATTGGTGGGTATGACCCCCAAAAGAAAAAAAAATCCAAACACACAAACACACAGTAAGCACTTAATAACTGCTTGGTGAGTGAATTACAATCTCAATGAAAAATCTGAACTATCCTGGTGGAGACCAATCCTTTTTTTTTTTTTTTTTAGAATCTATAGTGCCTGTCCTATAAAGAGTGGGTGCCCATAACATAACCGTGTTCAATGATGTGTGTTCTAGACTCTATGGACCCCTCCCTTCTTCTATGACACCATCAACAGGGCAGGTGACACGGGTTACAGATGATTTATTTGACTCTCTGATGAAATTTGGGATCCATCCTGGCCTCTGTAACACATTTACAGATCATCTCATAGGGTGACTTTTTTTTTCTTTCCTTTCCTATTTTTGCTTGTTTTTTAATTTTGGGGTAATGCTGGGTAGTGCTCAGGGCATACTCCTGGTTCTGTGCTCAGGAGACCATATGTGGTACCCTGGGGTCAACTGGCATTGGTCAGTGATGTGCAAGGCAAGCGGTTTAGCCCCTGTAATGTCCCTCTGACTCTTTTCTTTCCTTTCTAAAAAATCTTGTCCTATTTTTCTTTTCTGGGTTTTTGGGCCACACCCAGCGGTACTCAGTGCTTACTGCTGCCTCTAAGCTCAAGAAACTATTCCTGGCAGTACACAGGGGACATATGGGACCTGGTTCATCTGCAAGCAAGCCAAGCGCCCTAGTCACTGGACCGTCTCCCCAGCCGCGTCCTGTCCTATTTTTTTTTTTAAGAGGGCTCTTAATTTTTTACATTTTCCTGGTAACTGACTCCAGCGCTGGTAAGGTAGTGGGACACCGAATTATGTGCTGGCTTATATTTTTATGCCGCCCAGAGTTCTTTGTGCAGGTGTGGATTTATCTGCTGTGAAGGAGTCCAAAAGCAGGGATATTTCAAAACCAGTAACAGATTAAGAAGTAAGGTGGAGGCTGAATACCGCACCTCTGTGAGCGCCGGTGGGGGGGCTGCAGGGTCGGTCTGGGGGGCTCAGCTCAGCCAACGCCTCCTCCTTTCTGCCTTTAGCTATGCCTGAAGTGCTTTAGTTATTAAGAAGCTCCCCTGGAGCTTCTTAATAACTGAAGGTTATTTTCACATCCCTAGAAGCTTTTGAGTCCCTTTCTCCCCCGGAGGCTTCCCCTCCCGCTGGTAGTGAGGTCTTCAGGCGAAAAGCAAGGTTGGGGGGGGCAGGTAGGGTACACCCAGATGCTTAATGGGAACCTGAGTCATCCCTTGGATGCCTGTCCAGTGATTTTTTTTTTGGGGGGGCTAAGGTTTCTGTGCTCAACTGGATACAGGCACCGTGGGTCACCCTGTCCTTCTGCAGAGGGTGGGGGGCGGCGTACGGCCCCCTCCCGGGAGACTGAGAGCGACCTCAATCTTTCAGAATCGCCCTTTCCTAACTCTGTCATTCCCTCGCCCGTTTTCCTCTCGGTCCTCTCCAATTCTTCCGGAGGATCCCTCCCCGACACCTCCCTCGCACCCCCAGAGACCCAGGTGTGGGGGGCAGAGGGGGGAAGCGCCGCCAATTCTGAACCCTCCACGGACCCCAGCCAGGCCCGAGGCCGCCAGAAACCGCTGAGGGGGTTGGGGGCGGAGCGGGGGTGGGGGGACCCCGACCCCCAGCCACGCGCAGGCCCCGCCCCCGCCCCAGGGCCTGCCCCGCCCCTCCCACGCGCGTCACGTCCGGCCCCGCCCCCGCCCGCCGCCCTCCGCTCTCCTCCCGCTCGCCGTTAGGGAGGCTCTGCGTCTCCGCCGCCACCGCCGCCGCCTCGCCCGCCGCCTCCGCCTTTCCCGCCTCCTCTCTCCTCAGCTCCGCCGCCTCCACCACCGGGGGCACCCGGGGGGGGGGTCGCTTTCCGGGCTGGCCCCGCGCCACAGCCGTCGCTTCAGCCTCCCGCCGGCGGCCGCCTCAGGAAGACGCTCGCCCGCCGCGGCGCCACCTGGGGCCTCCGTTCTCGCCCACTCGCCGTCGCTGCGGATCCTGGAGAAGCGGCCGCGGCCAGGGAGCGGGGCGTCGCGGTTCCAACGGTGGGTAAACGGGCGGCCGCCGGCGTCTGCGCATGCGCCGGCCGCCGCGGACCTTCCCGCCCCCCACCCTTTTCCCTCCCCCCCCCCCGCCGCCCCCCAGCTCCGGGTCCCACCACCCACCCCCGCGCGGGCCTCAAGGGCGTTGTATGTCAGGGTGCTGGGCGGGGGCGGGGGGAGCAGGGACGGTGCACTGCAGATGGGGCATTTGTCTGGAAAGCTTCCCCGCCACCCCCTTAAAAAAAATTTTTTTTTTTCCTCTGCTGGAGCCTGAGGAGATGCAGCCGCAGCCCGGCTGCCGCGGGGGTGTGGGGGTGTGGCAGGCTCCGATTTTGCAGGCGCTCCCGTGCGCGCGAGCTGCCGCGCCTTCTCGCCGCCGCGCCCCTCCGAAGTGCAGGGCCCGGCCACCCGCGATTGTTTGGCCACCCCGGGCCGCGCGACGGACCCTGCGGCCTCCACCCTGGCCCGCTTCCTTCGGGGCTGGGCGGGGAAAGCGGATGGGGGAAAAGAAAAAAGGGGGCGACGGTCGCTGCCGGGCTCGGCGGCACCCCCCGGTTTTTTTCAGGTCACGTGGGGCGAGTGGCTGCTGACTTCCTCAAATCGCTCCGCGAATATGGCCAAATTGGGCTGTCGTCGCGCAGGGGACTCGGCGAGAAGGCACCCCGCCCAAGGCTGCGGCCGGCCGGAGGGGGCCGCGTCAAGTTTCGCTCGGGGCTCCGGGTTTCGGGGATAGGGAGATAAATGGGCTGCGTCTGCACACGCGCCTCGAGGGAAGCTAGCGAGCGAGCGTTTGTGATCAATCAAAAACAAACAAAAAACCCCGACCCCCCACCCCCCCCCCGACTTTCAAGAAGGCAGTTGCAGAGTTTCACTGATTTCCCGTTATATCTGGGAGATAAAAAGTATGTGAAAAGTTAGCCGTTACCTTCTTTTTGGTAGTGTCTGAAAATCGAAGAAAAATAAAAGTGATACCCAGGAATTACTGTAATGTAACTTTAGGACCTAAGTAACTGAGGTGCACTTCCATTCAAAGGCATACAATTTAAATAGCTTTGAATTACTCATTTTCTGGGCTTACCTGAGGCTATGCCTTTAACTTTCTTGGTAGCGTGTAGTACCTGGGTTTCACAGGTATTGTGCAGCTGTAGGTACTTGTTGAATGGAATTGAATGAATTGGCTGTTCTTTGCATATCACCTGCAGCCCCTCTGTATTTCTTAAATTGTTCTGCTTGTAAGAGCGGGGAAGTATTTTCTCCAATTTAATTGTGCCAGCAGTTAGGGATCTTTGACACAGTTTAAATCCTCACAGAAAGGCCCGCTGCAATGTCATATGACATTGGGTGAAGTAGCTGTTAGTGTTTTTTTTTTTTAATTAGATGCCATTGTTTTAGGAAATAAAATGGCTGAAATGAATATAGTTTTTTTTGTTTTTTTTTTTTTTGGGGTCGCACCTGGCAATGCACAGGGGTTGCTCCTGGCTCATGCACTTAGGAATTACTCCTGGTGGTGCTGGGGGGGGGGGGGGGGCGACCATATGGGATGCTGAGAACCGAACCCTTGTCGTCTGCCTATGTCTTAGGCAAATGTCCTACCTGCTGTGCTAGTGCTCCAGCCCCTGAAATGAATATAGTACATTGTAACCTGTCACTTCCTGCCCCCAGTAAAAGGCTACTTAAAAAACATCATGAACAACATTCTGTGCATGCTTATATTGTAAACTAATATTGATGTTGGTGAATGTAAGAGTATAAAATATTGTTACACTTTCAAAAAATTTAAATTGGTAAATATGTACGACAAAACTTTAATTGTAGGAGGCCAGAAATATGTGGCTCAGCAACAGAGGATGTGTGGTGCATCTGTGAGGTGGTGGGTTGGATTCCTGGGACCATCATCACCACCACACACAGACACAGGGAGTTTGCGGGTTTAAGTCTGTTACATTGGCATTAAGGTGTATTGGTGGTGCTATGGACCTGGATCACCACTATTTCTAGAACTTTGCAAACTCTATAGACAATAACTCCCATTTCTTTAGTTTTGTTTTTTGGGCCACACCCTAGGGTGCTTAGGGCAGACTTCTGGCTGGGCACTCAGGGATCACTCCTGATGGTGCTTCAGGACCCTATGGGGTTCCAGGGATTGAACCTGGTTGGCTCTATGTAAGGCGAATTGCTCTACCTGCTTTGCTATATCTCTGGCCCCAGTAACTCCCATTTCTTTCCTCCCCAGTAATCTCTACTTTATACTTTGTATTTTTGTTTTCTGTGTACTTTACATAGGTTGAATCATGCATTTGTCCTTTTGACTCTGCCTTGTTTCATTTAGCATGTTTTCAGGGTTCATCCATATTGGAGTACAGATGAACTCCATAAATATAATAATCAGCCTTAAAAACATTTTTATTTTTTAAGGCTGATTAATATATTACATCGTTTACATTATGTTTGGACATTTCATCTGTTGGTAGTCATTGGGACTCTTTCCAGCACCACTAGCTTTGTTTATTTATGGGCCACACCTAGTGATGCTCAGGGAGTACTCCCTGCTTCAGTGCTGGGGAGTTGCTCCAGGGGGTGTTTGGGGAACATTCAGTGCTGGGGATGGAACTTGGGTTTCCTATATGCAAAACGTGTGCTCAGCCCTTTGTGTTATCTCCCCTTTCTCTGTTTGTACTACTTTTTAGTTTTTGTGAATGATACACTGTTATGAACAGTAGAGTGCAAATGTCTTGCTTAATATGTAGGGGTTATATTCCTAGGAATGGAATTGTTGGATCGTGTGCTAACTGCGTGGATTTTTGTTTGCTTATTTTTACTTCACACCCAGTGGTGTTCAGGGCTTATTCCTGGCTCTCTGTTCAGGGATCACTCCTGGCCAGGCCAGGGAATCATATGGGGTCCTTGGGACTGAACCTGGGTTGGCTGTGTGCAAGGCAAAACACCCTACCCTCTATACTAGCACTGTGGCCCCTGCTAGTATCCCTTTTAAAATTGTTTGGAAACTGTAATCTACTTGGGTGAACTGGTATTTCTTTTGTGATTTTGATTTTGATTTCCTTGAGATAGTGGTGTTTGACATGAATTCATTTGCTTTTTTAGATTTTTTTTTGTACCCACACCCAGTGGTGATCAAACTTATTTGCATCAGTCCCTGCTATCTCCTTGGCCTGATTATTGACTTTTAATTTGTGTATCTCTTTGGAGAATTGTTTGCCCATTTTAGAACTGGTTTTTATTTTGTCATCATTTTGTTGTAGTTCTTATTTTGGGTTCACACTCAGTGCTGGTGGTGGTAGAGGGCACGTGCAATGCTCTCATGGAGGATACTTGCACATGTCAGGGACATATGTTTTCTACCATGTGAGCCAATTCCTGACCTGGGTTTTTGGATAGAGGGGTGGCAACACCCTATGGGGGTCATGGGCTGTTCTATTCACAAGGGTTGCTTCTGGTATTGCTCAGTATCAGATCACACAGGGGATTAAACCTATGCCCATTCCGTGCAAAGTATATGCTTCATTCAAACCGTTGAAGCATCTTTGGTTCTGGATTTCTTTCTTTCTTTTTTTTTTTTGTAGGAGTACTGCTATTTATTCAGCCACTGATTAGCTGATTGAATTGGGCATGAACTCCACTAGTTTTCTTTCTTTATAAATAGAAAACTTTATTGGCAAGTAGAAGGGAAAGCAACTTCCCATCTGTTGAGAAACAGTATGGGGATTTTTTTTTTTTTTTTGTCCACACCCAGTTGTGCTCAGGGCTTACTCTTGGATCTACGCTTAGGGATCACTCTTGGTGGCATTTGGGGGAACCATTTGTGGTACTAGGGACTAAAATCAGGCCAGCTGCATGCAAGACAAGTGTCTTACCCACTGTACTACCTTTCTGACCCTCAAAATAACCTTTTGTTTTTGGGCCACACAGCGTGCTCAGAGATCACTCCTGGTAGTGCTTGGAGGCCCATATGGGGAGGTGAGTATCAAAAACCGATTTGGAGTGTTCAAGACATGCACATTATCTGTTGTACTATGGCTCTGGCCCCTCAAATAACTTAAAATTATTTGTACATAAATCTTTTATTTGAAAAACTCATGTTTTTGAAAATAAATGAAGTACTTTTTTTTCCTTTTTGGGTCACACCCGGTGATGCTCAGGGGTTACTCCTGTCTCATGCACTCAGTAATTACTCCTGGCGGTGCTCAGGGGACCATATGGGATGCTGGGAATCAAACCTGGGTTGGCCATGTTGGCTGCGTGCAAGGCAAACACCCTACCCGCTGTGCTATCGCTCCAGCCCCTGAAGTACTTTTTTTTTTAAAAAAGGAATAGAAAACCTGTTTTGCAGTTGGATAAACAACAGAGAGATGGGCTTTATACCTGAAAAGAGGTTTCCAATTATTTTGTGTAGGTCACAGTATATTTAGATCTCAACTCATTATTTTTCAGTATGAAGAACTTCTAACCTTTGAGATTACTGCTTCTGAACTTCGCTTGTCTATAGTGCTTTGTGAATGTGACAAGGAACAGAGGAGAGTTTTACTTTTTATTTTTCCTTTTTGGGTCACACCTAACAATACACAGGGGTTATTCCTGGCTTTTGCACTCAGGAATTACTCCTGGCGGTGCTCAGGGAACCATATGGGATGCTGGGAATTGAACCCCGGTCGGCTGTGTGCAAGGCAAATGCCTTGCCCGCTATGCTATTGCTCCAGCCCCAACTAACAAACATTTTTAAAAATATTTTTTTATTGAGGTTCTGTAGTTTACAAAGTTATTTATAGCACCCAACTTTACAATCAGCCATGAACAAATTCCTTGTGTACAGTTCCTGTCCTCAACCCCATCATGCCAGTATCAGAGATAACTCCCACTTGGCCTCTGGGGCCACGTGGGGTGCCAGGGATGGAACCTGGATCAGCTGCGTTGCAAGGCAAATGCTGTAATGGCTGTCTATCACTCTGACTTCTCAGCTAATAAACTTTAAGGAGCTTATTCCCTCC